TCCCAGAGGAGGAAGAGGAGGATCGATCGAGTTCTCGGGTCGTTCGGTGCCACTCTGCCTCGGCACGACGAGGAGGGTCCGTTCATCTGGATGTAAAGCGATGCGAAGCGGCGCCATGGTATCATAGCGGGCGCGCGTGGCCGAAGCCGAAATTGCAGCGGAATGCACAATGTTTGTCCCGACAGACGTGCCCAACGAGGAGGTGGCGTACCGTTCGAACAGGAGAAGGAGGAGGAGGACGAGGAGGAGGAGGAGGAAGAGGCCATGAAGGAGAACGGGAAGGAGTTCGGTGCCTAGCGTGACTGGTGTGCGTGGCGCGGTGTGCCCTTGCCACGTCGTCCTCCTCCTCCTCCTCCTCCTCCTCCTTCTCTTCCTCCTCTTCCTCCTCATCATCCTCCACTTGTTGTTATTCCTCTTCCTCCTCCTCCTGGTCCTCCTCCTCTTTCTTTGCATTTTTCGCCTCCTCCTCCTCTTTGTTTGCCTCGTCCTCCTTCCCTTCCTCCCCCGCCCTCCTCCTGGTCCTCCTCCTCCTGTTCCTCCTCCTCCTCCTCATCCTCCTCTTCCTCCTCCTCCTCCTTTTCCTCCTCTTCCTCTTCTTCTTCCTCGTTTTCCTTTTCCTCCTCCTCCTCGCCATTTTCGTCCTCCCTCGTGCTGTCGCTGTTCGTCTTGTTTGTTCACCATCCTCCTCGCCCACCCTGTCCTCCACTTCTTTCTGCTCGTACCAACTGCCGACCGCCATCGCCGCTGGCCAAAGCCGCCAGAGGGGTGCAGCGCAGATGGTCGCACCAACATCAAGAGAAGGACAACGGCATGATATGAGACGGCACGAGTGGGGGGTGTTGGGATTGGAACCGCCGATTGCCACCGCCACCCGGGAGGAGGATACGGGGGGCCACCTGCGTGGAGGAATGCACCTGCACCGAGGAAAACCAAGGAGGAAGAGGCGGAGCGGATGAAGAAAACCCGCCTTTAGGGGAAATCACAAAATACCGGATCCGATGCTCCCTGTTTTTCTTCCGGTGTGCACTCTGGTCAGAATTTCGAAGCGCATCCAGCGGTGGCGACGAAGGCCCCCCAGGAGGCCCAAAACAAGAAAACGAGGGACACATACCGGCATCGGTACCTGTTCTGCCGAAGAGTCCCCGCGCTCCCCCCGCGCTCCCTTCGCGCCAACCCTCACGGGGTGGGGTCAAAAGGAAGGCGCCGCGGCCGCGATCGCACCAACGCCCGGAGCGGGGGGGGGGCGCGGAACCGCCGCAGATCGAACCCCCAAAAAACGCAAAAGGAGGCCGCCAAGGCGCGGGCGATCAGGCAGCCGATGAAGCCGCCCAGGCTGGCCAGCCACCTGAAGCGCACGCGCCGCACAAGCGAGAGGCCCACGACGTGCGACGAGCCGCCCGGCACAAGGTTAAGGTCGCCTGCCAGAGGTACCCCCCGCAGCTGCACGGCCCTGACGCGGCGCAGCTATCGTGCTGCCGCAGGGACCGCCGAAGATGGAGCGAATGACCTTGCTGGCCGCAGCGAGCCTCGGCCACGGAGGGGCTCCTCAACCTAGATGTGAGGAGCGGCCCCACAAAAAAATCCACCCTGACTACCTACCAGACCACCCCAACCCAACCCGAAGACCCGAATTTCGGGTTGGGGGGGGTAAGGGTTCCACACGAGTTTTTTCGATGTTTCCCGACCACCCCCCCACTGGAAATCGAATGTAAATCTGAGCCTTCGGGTTGGGTTGGGGTGGTTTGGTGGGTGGTGACATCCTGAGCCCAAGGTGGCCTTTTCAACGCGTCGGCGGTCTGGGCGTGCACCCTGGGGCTGAGACGACTCGAGCAGCGGCCGTTGCCCAAACTGGGAGCGACATCGGCCACGAACGAGAACGCAACTGCTAAGGCCCAGTGGAACGACCAGCGTGCTGACCACGCCCTCTTCGCGACAGAGGGTGCGTCGCGCATGCGTCGCCCGTGCGTCGGCCGCGAAGAGGGCCCGCCGTCCTCGCACACGTGTACGTCGCCGTCGCATGGGGGTCCTCTGGCGAGTGCCAATTTGGCGGGCACTTACGAGGCGGATCGCACGCGCGTCGCCCATCACGCGGCCGCCGAAAAGGCCGGTCGCCTTCGGGAAAAAACGGGTCGCCCTCGCAACAGTCCCCTTTGTGAGAAGGTGGCTGTCGGGCGACTTCGGCGGATTAGCAAATCCATCTAAAATCCCACCAGCCCTGTGGGCGACAAGCGGTCTCTTCCACAACCCCTCTTCCCTTCGGGGAGGGGAACCCTCCCCTTCCCGTCCCTGAGGTTTTTTTTGGAAGGGGTCGCGATGTGTCGGAAGCTTCTTTTTCTGCCATTGGGAGGGCCATTGTCTGCCAACCCTCACGAGTATCGTGGCCCCCGAGGGGGGGACGCAAATCTAGTACCTAGTACCACCAATGTTTTGACCGACCGCCTCCAAGATGGCCCCCAGAGGCCCCTCAGGGCTCCCGGGAGGACCCGAAGAGGGCCAAAACAACACCCTAAGAAACCCCAGGAGACCTCCAAAAGGCACCCGAGAGGCCCCCAAAAGGCCCCCGAGCGCGGCCCCCGAAGGGCCTCAGAGAGCGCAAAATGACCTTCAAGATGGTTCACGATAACCCAAGCTAGCTTCAGATGGTTCCCAAGATGCTCCAAGAGGCCACAAGACCGCTCCAAAACTGCTCAAGATGGCCGCGGAGCCTCCCCAGGATGATTGGGAGGCCCAAATCATCCAAAAACGTAACGAAAAACAATGAATCTGGCCTTCTCGCCTCTTTGCTTTCGATGGCCTTCCGGGGCCTCAAGATGGCTCCAAGATGGCTCAAGAGGGCCCCAGGAGAGGCCCAAGAGAGCCCCAAAAAACATCAGGAGTGCCCAGGAGCGCTGCCAGAGGGACCCAAGAGGCAATTTGAGGCACTGTCGAGAGGCGACGCTACTTGAAGCTATCCTTCGTCTGGCCGATCCCTCCACGCCAGCATGGAGATGGCCCCAACACGCCGTCCAGGCCGGCCTCCCTCGCTGTTTGACTGTGCGTGTCTCTTTCTCTCCCCCCCGTCAGCTCTCATGGGCATTGTTTCTGGATGGGTTGGTGGGTATATATGTATATTTTTTTACAACCGCAGGCGGAAACGCCAGCGGCGGAAGGTCGCGAACGGGCCGCGGACGCGACTAAATTACCTAACGCGCGCAGGGCCGCGGATCAGGCGGCTCACGACAGCGTCCAGGGAGGCGAACACGATGCAATCCAGGTGCCATGACAGCCCCTGAACGGGCATGCAGGTGCGTCCAACAGGCCTGAGGTAGGCACCGAGACCACCTAGCGCAGCCAAAATGGCGCGAAAACGTTCCAACGTCCAAAGGCGGACAAGGGAACGACCGAGGACGCCAGCCCCAGCCTGTCGGGTAGCACAGAGGTCGGGATGGTAAGTCCAACGAGGATCCCGACGGCGGCAGCGAGCCGCGGCGTCAGCGACATCAAGGTGTATCCATGATCCGAGAAGACTACCACACCAAGACGTATCGGCCCAGACCCAACGGGTGGAAGGGCACCTGATGCACGCTCCCGTCGAAACGCGGCGCGTGCACAACACAGTGTCACAGTGCAGTCCAAAGAGACGGAGAGCACAGGCGGAACGAGACCGTGTATACCCAGGCAAGACCCACAAAGCCACTGATCCAAGGTCGCGGTAGGAAGCCGTCCAGCAATGGGAGTCCAGAGGGCACCGATCCATGGAGCGCGAAGGGTACCACAGGCTGACTGGGGACAAGGACCAACTGAGAAGCAGACGGCGAGCCAGTCGCAACGCAAGAAGCGCATCCAGGGTGTGGAGAATGATGACAAGACAGAACATCCACACCTGAGATGCGACAGCCCAGATCCGACGAGTGGAAGGGGTGGAAGAGCACGATGCACTGGTTGGTGGGGATACGCGAAGCGTCAAGAATTGCAACGCCGCGATGCTGCTGAGACCACAATATGGCGCTAGGCGAGAACGTCCCCACAGCCGCCGACACAGCCACCGATACTGCCGCAAACACCATGACTACCGCTTCCACCATCATCGCCAACGGCCGTGACCCCCACCGCGTTCACCGCGAAGATTACGGCAGCCGCCAACGACCGCGACCACCGCCGCGGCCGCCACGATTCCCGCAACCACCACAACGACGGACACCAGCACCATCACCAGCGTGACCACCATCGGCCCGCCCACCGCCAGCAGCGCGACCGCCACCGCCGCGACAGAGGCGACAACCACGACCGCGACAACGATCACCAACACGACGGTGACAGAAGCCCCCGCCCCCCCTCGTCCTCCCACTTCCTCCCCCTTTCCGTTTCTGGGCCGCCCGTGCCGCCACGCTCGCCCCGCGCCCCTGCCCCTCCCCCCTCCCCTCGCCCCTCGCAGCCCCCCGTTTCCTCCACCAGCGGCGGGGCCGTTCGCTGAAGGCGGGGCCCCCGCTCGCGGCCCCGCGCCGCGGCCGCGGAAGGGGGGTGGCCGGGGGGGGGGGGAGATGGAGACAGGGGGCGCCGAGGGGAATACAGCGAAGGCGTTAGAGGAGGGATTTCCAGGATTTCCGCCATCACGTAGTGATAAAAGCATGCTAGCTCAGGCTTTGGGGAACAGGTCGCGAGAGATACGATCGAGGCACTCGCGCCTGGCCTTGGTAATCAACTGTGGGCGGCACGGATTCCCGAGCCCTCTGAGCTGGGCCTGACCGAAAAATCCGCATGAGCCGCAAAACCACACACCAAGGTCTTTGTGAAAATGCATGGTGTGGGTGGGGTGCGTCCAACCTCCAGCCAAGTGTCAATTCCGCCCAGGGGGGGCGAGCTAACCTAGAACTGACTTGGAGCAGGGAGAAGCACTCACTTTTTAACCATTCATCCTCGGTGGCTGAACTACGGCACGCTGACACACGACCTGCCATTTTCGGTCAGGGCGTGGGCAGACGCGAAGCGTGCTATAGCCTTCGGGGGGGGGGGGGGGGGGG